GAAATATTTATTTATTTATTTATTTATTTTGTGATAAGAAATATCATTAAACTAGTTTGTGTGGGTCAATCAATACTAAAATAAGATCAAAGTAAAGTGAAAAAGAAGAAGGAGAAGAATAAAATTAATTGATATAATCAAGAGGTAAGATAGGAAAAGAATAAAGTTACAAACTTGTGCAATTCAAGCTGTGTGCACCCAAAACATACATTAATCTTGTATATTCAATTAACATTTACAATTTTACAAGTCAAGAATCCATGTTTTTTATATAATCATGCGGTATATATAATTAAGAAAAAAAACTCTCATTCAAGTATAAGCTTTTTTCTTCATCTATTTAAAATATTAAATCGGGATTTCACCGCAATATATTTGGTTCATGTAACTTTCAAACGACAAAAAAAAAAGAAGAGAGAGTTAAGGTTGTTGTAGTGTGTGTGTATATATATATATATCATCCTTCTTTATTGTAAAACTATGTGAATCATTAAAACTAATATATGAATTATTAAATTTAATTTTTAAAATTAGAAAAAATATCCACTATATATGTTTTAAAAAAATATTATAAAATTCAATTTTGCTCTTAAAATCCTAGTAACATTCCCCTTAATATTGAGATACCATGTAAGGTTGTAGTAGTTATTTTTTTTTAAAGTGTGTTTTATTTGGAAATATATTAAAAAAATATTTTTAAAAAAATTATTTTAATATCAACATATTAAAATATTCAAAAATATTAAAGAATGAATTTAAAACAAAAATAAATTTGGATTTTTTTCAAAAGTATAGTGCCACAGTAAAAATAAACACCTCTAAAAAAAGTCTTAAAATATACAAAAAGTTTTGGAACTCAAAGGAAAAATACGCAGCATTAAATTTTCAAGTGGTTTGCAAGATTTTATAAAAATCCAAGTGTTAATGTATTCTACCTCTAATACACACACACACACATATATATTCATTCAAGTTAAGAATAAGCACAATCGTCTAGGCTTTTTCCTGTTCCGGGACATTTTCCCCTTTTCCTTTTCTTGTCCTAGATGATGCTCTAACCATGGCCATTTGCTTTCTCTGTTGCCATGTTCCACGCAGAACAAATGGGTGGAGTCTTTGAGTACTCAAAGTATATCCACGCATGTGAAATCAAAGTTACCTCACATCACTATATATTCTACTGGAATGCTTCCCAGTTATTCAAATAGAAACCCATTCAAGTACAAACTCTCTTTCCTTTTCTTTTGCAATGTATCCCGTAGAAATAAACATACAAGAAAATTTGACCACAAGAAATGATGATCAAAATGTATTGATGGATCGTTTCTTGTATGAATATGTGAAAGAGGACAACATTGTGACCTTTAAGAGCTGTGTTCAGAAACATTCGCCAGATAAGCTAGTGACTCCCTCTGGGAATTCACTACTTCATGTAGCCGTCAGCTATGGAAGTGATAAAATTGCAGATTATCTGGCAGAAGAGTTTCCTTCGCTAATCACCAGTCGAAACGACCAGGATGACACAATCCTTCATGTTGCTGCCAGGGAAGGAAGGCTTAGTAATACAATTAAAACTCTGGTCGGATCGAATCCCAGCTTGGTGATGTTGGAAAATAGAAAAGGAAACATTCCTTTGCATGATGCAGTGATCAGGGGTAAAAAAGAAGCTGTCGCGTGGCTGGTATGCAAAGATCCAGGAGCGGCCTATTACAACAACAATACACAAAAGTCTCCATTGTACCTGGCTGTTGAGAGTGGCCATAAGAATGGGATTCTTGATGATCTCCTGAATATCGAAGCTTGCTCTGGCGCACTCCAAAAAGGAAAGTCCCCTGTTCATGCAGCCATCGAGCAACGTAACAAAGGTGATCACAATGTGTATCTATACTCGTTAGAAAATGATTTACATAAAAAACAATTCTTGCAAATATATCATCGTTATGTTCAATGGAAACTAATTCTTTTGATTTTCAGATATATTGGAAAAAATTGGAAAGGCAAAGCCAGAGCTATTACGTTTCAAAGACGAAGAGTTGGGAAATTCCCTCCATTATGCATCATCCATGGGTTATCTGGATGGAGTTCGCTTCCTACTACAGAAGTTTCCATATGGAGCAAATGAAAGAGACCAAGAAGGAAACTATCCTATCCATCTTGCATGCAAAAATGATTCTGTTGATCTAGTAAAGGAATTTATGAAAGTCTTCCCATATCCAAAAGAGTTCCTCAATGCAAAGGGGCAGAACATTCTCCATGTAGCAGCTGAAAATGGACAAGGCAAAGTGGTTAGGCACATACTCAAACTGGATCAGAAGCTCATCGAACCACTGCTAAATGGCATTGATGAGGATGGAAACACACCTTTGCATTTGGCAACACAGTCAGGCCAATCCAATGCTGCATTTGCTCTAGTGCGCGACAAAAGAGTTGAGCGTTCAATTGTCAACAATGCAAACAAGACACCGTATGATATTGCTGAAGAACAATCTAAAATAGCTGTGAATCAATATGAAAAAACAGATGAAATGGTACACTAGTTGATCATCATTTAGCAAGATCTACGAAAGTATATATTTTAGGAGAATAATTGGTTTAATATTTTTGTATCTGTGCTAATTACTAGTTGTTGCCAGCTTGCTGAGGAACGAAAGCAGTTTGATTCAAAGAACAACACCCCTGCTGACGGTACCCAGGTATAAGAGTTCAAATGATATGTTCTTCGCTTACATTTTAGATATTTTGGGTAAAGATATGTACTCGATAATACAAGAATATTTTATCAAGTAATGGAAACAATCAAGCAAGATCAAGAGACGAAAAAAATTCAAGATTTAACACCTAACCGTTTAAGGTTTTTGAGTATAATGATGTCATGTGATTTGAACAATTATCATTTATGCATTTCTTCATGATTTCTATTTTCAGAGACAGGACAAAGCAGTTGATCCAAAGAAGCAACATAAAAAGAAACCCTCGAAGGATTACAAATTGGTAGATTATTATGGAGCGGTATTGTTTCTTTTCTTCTTTCCTATACTTTTGGGTTTTGATCTTTTCGGTTTCCGGAAGAGGTAAGACTTTAAGAAAGAAAAAAGATGGCTGTGTCTTGGTTTAAAAGTGGTGCTGAGCTACATGCTTAACTTGTATTCTATAGTATTCAAAATTCTGAAACCATTCCAGAATTTTGATATCTGGCGTCCCCAAAAAGGCATTTCAAGGCCAGATGCTTTTGGATAATCTTCAAAGTGCGAAAAACTAAAAAAAAAAACATTAAGTTTTTTCTCCTTGCTATGCAGATGACAACATTATCGATCCTATACTTCCACGCCCGCCCCAAAAAATCCCTACAACAGCCTTTCAGTAGTTCTCAAGGCAAGCCACCAAGGAAAGAGGAAACAAAGAGCAGGATAGAGAATCTTCTTGTGGTAGCAGTGCTTGTTGCTGGTGTAACCTTTTCTGGTGCTATACAATTGCCACAGCTAAAGAATATCAGTAACTCAAGTGAACATCATCATGACTTTAACGTCACTAGCACTGTCTTCCATAACAACACTGCCTTCGACAGTCCTACTGGTTCATCCCTTCTGGATGGCTATTTATGTCTTGATGTGTGGGCTTTGAATACCTCTGTGGTGGCTGCTATAATCCTTCTTTGGACGAACTTGAATGATGTCAAATTTGCACCATTTGTCGTTTGGTTTTCATCCTTAATGGTTGGTGGAGCTATTTACATGATGTGCTTGGCGTTCTTTTTTGCTGTGAGCATAGCATTAGGTGGATCCGATTATGGAGTGTTAGCAATCATCATTATTGTGGTGGGGGTTGTGTTTTTCCTTGCTCAAACATTGCTTTATATTCAATGGATTCTTCCACCATCTGTCAACCAAATTCTTGAAGGAATGCTCTCGTATCATGTCTACTTCCTCTCGTTTCTCTTTCTATTCTACAGTTGGAGGTGGCTGCCTGATAAACTCTCTGAGCTCAAGAGAGGGAGAACAAGCAAAGAGAGCAATTCAGGTTGATCTTCAATAGATGCCAGGATTTCTGGGATTCTCCTCCTCTAAAAGTTGTTGGGATCAGTAAGACTATTAGCAATGATGAATCGAATGTGGCTGTACTACTTTCCTTTATTCAAAGCAAGTTCGTTGATTGTCCAAGAAATGCTATACTAATGCCAGTGGCTTTAAATATAGCTGAGAAGCTTTTTCTTCGGCTCTCATGTTGGAGATGTTTTGATTTTAACAGATTCAAACCGTGGGACCAAATTGTTATATGGTTGATAATTGAGCCATTGATAGCAAAATTCAATAGGATGGGGACTGACTTGTGAAATCCGTTATAGTTGGGGGGCTGATTTGTAGTTATCCCTATTGAAGTGAATGGAGACAACAATTTCTCAGAGCAACGAAAATGTATATTTGCTTCGTGAGAAAATGATAGCTACAGCGATCATGTTGGATATATATTTATTATATTTGATTTTTATTGAATGCTTTAAAAGATATATTTTTGTATTATATAAATAGCTGAGAATTTTAAAAAAATATAATCACTAAAATAACATATAGTAATAAAAATAAAATTAAAATGAGAATAAAAAATCCTACAACAAAAATTAAATTATTATAAAAATCAAAACTTAACTAATTAAGCTATACCTCTCAACAAAAAAAAATTCTGATACATTTCTTTCTTATTTAAATTTTATTTTGACCTAAATATTTCATAGCTTTTCCTTTAGAGCAGCAGCAAAATGTCGAAATTGTAAAACAATTAGGAGAAAAGGAATAGCAAGGAATTCAACAGAAATAATGTATAAAAAAGAACAACATGTTATTCAATAGAAATTTAGTTGCCTTAGTGTTGCTGCCCAGGATCGAACTGGGGACCTTTAGTGTGTAAGACTAACGTGATAACCACTACACCACAGCAACTTGATGCTTAAAGAACAATATATGTTAGTGATATTGTGAAATTGTTAGCTAACGAGTGACAAATGCCCTTTAAACACGGAAAAAACCGTAACAGATCGAAAGTGAAACCTTGAAGACTAAGAGAACAATAATCATTTGATTCTTTGTGTGATTTAAGCCCTTAAGATTCTTAAAAATCTTGGGCTTTCTTAGGTATTTTTTTTTTAATTGGTGAAATTAGTCCATGTGGTTTGGGTTGAAGAAGTATTAATAACGAAGGGAAAAAATGGCCAGTGTCATGAGGAGTTGCATACAATCAATATTAAAATTATTGAATTGTGTGATAGGAATGGTTGGCATAGCAATGATGTTGTATGCAGTTTGGCTTATTAGAGTGTGGCAAAGAGAAATTGGTGATTTTCCATTTTTTGATGATGACGACGACTTTAGTCCATGGTATGCATTTCTTTCTTGTTTTTGTGAGTTTTTGGTTAGTGGGTTTTTGGTTTTATGTGTTTTTGGTTCATGGGTCAGTGTTAGAATTGTAAAAAGACGCTTTCTTTTGGTTGTGGAATGTGGGTTTTGTTTGGCTGGTGAGGAAAGTATTTGAATTTTAGGATTGGTTTGTTTGATGTTCCTTTGGGTTTGGTATTTAATGTTTTAGTCTCGTTTTAATGTTTGATTAGTTGCTAAATTGGTTGATTTATTTGTTAATTGGATGATGCTTGGGTGGATGGAAAGCTGGAAAAAGAGGAGCTTTAGAAAGTTGAGGACTGATTTTCTATTGTTTGAAAAGAGAGGAGCCTGGCTGTGATTTTCTCTTAATGCCATTACTTTTTGAGAGGGGGAGGTGTGATTGGCCTAACTGGTTTTGCTTGTGGGTGGAACATCATTGAGGCAGAAGTCTGTCAATATTTGCATCTTCTTTGCTTGCCTCTATTTTTTGAATTGCACGTGTATTAAATTTGAAAAGGTAGTTTGCTTCTATCTAACATAGAGCGGGCTTCTGATCTTTTCAAGTGGGCCATTTATCTTTAAAACTTTTCGGTTTGTGATTTATGTACATTTTCTATTTGCTTTTAACATTTTCATCAAGTTGCTGGACACCCAATGAAAAGCATAGGAAATTGAAGTTTGGAAGATTTTGGTCATGCTATTTTGCTTGTGATAGCATGAAACTTGAGTCTCTTTGATTAAGTATTCAGTTTAATGGAGGTTTTTATTTCTCTATTGCCAAATTGGTAATTCAATTTTTTGATTTATTACCTAACCTTTCCCATAATGCTATTAACAATCAAGAAGAACTTTATTTTCATGGCTTCTATAGAGTTGTTACAAATTTTGTAATTCTACAGTCAAAGCCATACTCTGGTTTGTATTGCAGGAGAATTAATAATGACAAAACTTTGTTATTAATGAAGCTGCTTCTTTGAATGGAGATAAAATAATTGATTTTGGTTGGTGTTTGATCATTGATTTGTGATGTTAGTTGAAACAAGAGTTATAAGGGGGCATGGGCTGTTTTCACTTTTGATTTTAAAGTAATTGTCTGTACGCGGCTGGTTAGAGCTTATTTAACTCATAGTCAGTGAATGAATGGTGTATGGTTGTTTGCTGCTTTCTTGCCTGATTATCTTTAAAGCAATGTCTTCATAAAATGCAGGTTCATTTACACATTTCTTGGCCTAGGTGTGACTTTGTCCATGATCACATGCTTAGGTCATATTGCTGCTGAAACTGCAAATGGTTGCTGCCTTTATCTAGTATCCTTTCCTCGAAGCAGTTAAATAAGTATCTACATTCCCTTCTTTATTAGTTTTTTTGTTTAATTATTCTAATAAATATTGGTTTATAGCCCCATACATTACCTTTTAGCATCTGATCAGCATGATAATTTCAGTTTGATTTCGTTGAACTAACCATGTGGTTTAGTTATACCCATATTTCATCACGGTGAATAAGATTTTGAATTCGTACAATCAAATTCTGTTTTCAAAATTGTTGTTTACTTGAGAAGCACAACTTTGTTCATTCATGGAGCTTGAGTTTCTTAGAATGCAAGACCTTTTTGGCCAATTTTGACCTTAACAGGATTCAGTATATGTTGTTTGTATTCTTACTCCTCATGCTGGAGGCTGGAGTTACAGCTGATGTATTTTTAAACCGTGACTGGGAAGAGGTATGCTACTATGACCAAAAACTCAATTTGATTATCACCTTATGGTTTTGTGGTTACAAGTTACCATAAGTCCTTACTGAGAATTTATATGGTTACCACTCCATTTTGCCCGACTTGGCGCCAGGACTTCCCAAAAGACCCAAGTGGGAGCTTTGATCAGTTCAAAGGTTTCATCAGATCAAGCTTTGAACTCTGCAAATGGATAGGCTTATCAATTGTGTCTGTGCAGGTCTCTCTCTCCCAGTCTCCTTCCTCTATCTCATTTTCCTTGCATCTCGTTGACAAGGGAATTGGAGTGGGGTGTGATAATGAACTTATTTGAATAATTCAAAGCTTGTGAAATGTGGAAAACATTTGAGCATTACAAATAATTTCATAACATGTAAGTTTGATGATAAATTAGTTCTAGACCATCAATCAGTTCATGTTAGCATACCTGTTCGAAACCACTGTTAGCTGTTCCAAGACCGCATCCCTTGGCTTGCCTTTGTGTTGTGTATCCTCTTGATTCACATACTATGTTTTTATTTGATTCATCTCTAACTCTTTTCTGTTTAAGCTATTCCCTGCATGCCTCAAGTCTTGAATTTAAGCAGCAATATTGTATTCCTATATGAAAAATGATAATTTAACTCTAGGTTTTACAAGTCTTGCTTTATTAATATTTTCTAGTATTCACATACTCGAAATTGTGAATCACCTGTGCCTTCAAATTTGCAGGGACTGTCTTTTCTAGTAGCAATGATACTCAAAGCTGTTGGGCCCCATCCATGTTATGACAGTGATGATGATTATGCTTCAGATAGGGTTCCACTCCTGAAGGATGTTGTTCACCCACCTCCTTATGTTGTTGTTAACCCTGTCACTGGATCTAGAAATGATGCGTGGAGTATAAGGATTAACGAGAAGGTAGAGATGCTTAATTATTTTGGCATTCATGTTACTGTCAATCAAGAACTTCTCATATCCACAACCACCATTATGCACCATGCTCCCCACCCACACACCTTTTGTCCCTCCAACTTAGTCCGTCTCTTATTCTTACTAGGATGGTCTTTGTTCTGCATTGCAAACCAGAAAATCATCTCAGCAAACTTCGTTTAGTTATTAGCTTATATTGGCTATACACTCATAGTTGTCCTGCCATAACTCTATTGACTGGTAACTAGTAATACAAGTGGTGGTTGTGGTTACATAAAACCCTTTTATGCGTTCTGGCTGACCTCTGCTCTAGAAACTTTATTTGCTCCATCAAGTTTCCTTCAAATTTGCAACCAGACCTTTTCAGCTCACCCTCCTTTTTGTGGTCTATCCAGTTGATGGGCTTGATCAAAAATTGATTCGAGATAATAAAAAACGTCAGTGCAAAATATATCTAAGCTAGCAATTTCCATGTTTTCCCTTGTTTTCTGGGTCACCTTCTAGATATTAAATTTTCTGCTCAAAATCATATCCGGATTCCTGACCGTTGAACTTCTGCTTACAATTTGATAATTACTAGTTAGTTGAATATAATACATGGTCTAGCCGCTCTTGAACAACATGGTGGCTGCATGATTATCTTGTAATAAAAGATAATTTATTCCTGAAGGTTCGCCATTAATCAGTCTAATCATCATTTGGAATCAAATCAATTTTTCCATTTCCTTCTGTTCTTAATGTTTACACATGCTATGAGAAGAAGAAAACAATCCAAAAATACGAGTGGCTTGATGTTTTCATCAGCAACATCTCTGTATCTATTTATATGATTGGTGTTCTTTCCGATCCTGAATCAGGCAAACAGGTGATAGCTTTCACAAGGATGGGAACTTGCATTTGGAAGATTGGAAGTGCAATGTCACAACCAGCTTATATCATCTGATGTCCAAGAGCTTGTACAAGTGCTGAAGCTTTCGAGAAGGAAAAGGCTCTGTGGATGTGCCGTCAGTACATACAGGATTTTTTCTACTTTTGTACCCAACCTTGTGCAATTAACGCCATATAATGTAATAAAAATCTTCTCCTTCAAGTGATGAATTCTTTGTTGTTTAATTAAAATCTGGTGTACAGATTTTCCATGTATGTTGTAATAGCAATAGTGATAACATCTCTATCTAGAGGTTCCATCATCGGTAGGTTTCAAGCAGCCTTCATTTTCAATAATACTTGTTCTCATTTTGCATCATCGCCATCAAGAGTATGCGCATGATGTTTGCTGGTGCTGTCACACACTTCTGTGTACCTGAAAGAATTGGAAACTGATGTAGCAGCACTACAACTGTGAGTTTATCATCTAATCAATTCTGGCTGACGCAACTGAACTTAAATAATAGGAATCAAATCTATATAAATTAAATTTTGGAAGAATGGATCAAACATATACCTTAATCTGGGGTTTTATTGTTGAATAATTCTCTAAAATAGGTCTGAAGCAAATCTTTTAAAAAATAAAAATAATTATAATTATAATTCAAATAGAACAATAACATAAACCAGATAATCGAGCTAAAAATTAAAAATTAACTAAGAAAATAACAAGACTTGTAAAAAAAACTTCCAAATCTAATTTAAAAGCCCTTTCAACCTTATTTGATTATAACCTCCTGAAAAAAAAAAATCTGATTCAATGATTCAACAATTAAATCTAAAGTTACGAGTTTTTTCATTAGATTGGTTACCTTTTCTCAAACCTGTTCATGTGAACCTCTCATGTTTCATGTCACCTGCTCGCTGTTGCATACAAATTTGAAAAAGATATGTTAATTTACAAGCAATAAGGATATATTTGAATGTTTTGGAACATCACGACCACTCTTTGGCAATGGATTGTAGCTCAACTGATATTAATTTTTATAAAAAAAAAAACAAGTCTTCCATATTTCAATAATAATCGTGTCTTTTCACGTCACTGTTCGATATTGATCGAGATAGTTCATGCCAGTTCTTCAGTTGACAAGATATGGATATTGCCATCGATGCTCTTCTAATCCACTCGGTGAAGATGCATCCAAGTCCATGTTCTTGTCTGATCAAATATGTCTAATGGAGCTTTTATGTCAATGAGTCATGTGCCACTCATAAAATTAAAAAAAAAAAAAACCTTCAACTTTAACCTAGAAACACCCTAGCTCTAGCATGGAGCTCAAACAAACCAGAAGAAGCCTTCACAACTTCTTCAAAACACAAGTGAAAAGGCCAGAAAGTTGGAGGCATAAACAAAACGACGAAATTAACCACAATATCAGGCTTTTCTTTTCCATGCCCTTTTTCCTCCCTTGATACCGCCTTTGCAAAAGCATGATCTGGGTGCTCAGACTATGAGCACCTGTGCCATATGAACATCAATAAGTTAGTTGGATTCAATAAAATAATCGGTGAGAGTTTGTGCTATAAGCTGAATTGATTTACAATATGAGATTTGCCGGCCCCAACTGTAGCTACTTTAACTACCAAGATAATCATACTTTAATATTAAAACACAATCAAGGCAATCTCTTGTCAACTTCAAAATACTCCTTTATCATGCTATCGTGTTATGCGTGTTCAATTTATATTATACTTTTTGCACATAACCACAATTAGGTAAGACCTCAAGGGCCCTTTTAGGTTTTTACTTGAAGATTTGATATTCTAATCATAGTTACTAAGTACGCCTTAGCTTGACAAGTTGATTATAGATTCAAAGCTTGATTTAGGTTAGGTTTCTAATTATATCAGATAAAACATTGACTCATTAAAAAAATTATTAATGACTTAGTTGTTAGTTATTCGTTTTACGTTTTACCTTGTCAAATCTAGTATAAATTTAATAAGGTTAACACTAAAATAATATTAAAAAATAAAAATTATTGTTATTATTAACATTAGATACTTGTTTACTGCATTGAACTAATAATTCAACAAATTAGATTCTTCAGTGTAATCTTGAAAAGGGTAAGTTTGAAAAATAAAATTTTATTTGAAATTGAGGCAGTAAAGACAAATCAAAATATTTTTTATTTGAAAATATATTAAAATAAAAAATTATTTTTAATATTAACACATCAAAATAATATAAAAAATTATATATAAGAATTATTTTAAATAAAAATTAAATTTTTTAAAAAATATAATTTACATTTTATTTTCAAAGAAACTCTTCTACCTATAACCCAAAATCCATTCCACCTCTAGTGAGAGAGAGAGACAGAGGAAAATATAAAAATAAGTATTCAACGAAGCGTGTACAAAGCTCCTTCTTTTATCTCCTTTTTATGCAAGGCAATTGTTTATACAGGGATCATCTAAAGAGGGTTATGAAATGGTCAAAGAATGGTTTTTATTATAAAAGATTCATCAAATCTTCTTTTAAGAGCACTAAACCCTTGATTCGATCGATGCACTGTTTCTGGGCTTTACACCATGCATAAATTCGGATTCCCACTTCCCAACTTCTTAACAGGATTATCGATGATTAAATAGCTTATCATGAGAATTTAATCATGTGCCATCTATAACAAGAAAATACACAAGGAAAAGGTTTTTAATGGTGATTAATTACTCATATGCATCATTGATTTTTTTTAAAAAAAAATCATATGCATAATGATTTTATAAACACCTTGACAATCAAGGTTTTTTTGGTGATAATTGAGAAGATGATGGAATTGTGATTATATGCATTATGAGAATTACTTCTTCTTCTTTTTTCACTTAAGTGGTGTCTTTTGAGATGCGTTTGCCACAGCTTAGACCTAGTTCAAGATTTAAGTTCATGAAAACTCAAAATTATGTTAATTTCTTTCTGATGCAAAATTATCCCAATTTGAGATTTCCAGTAGAAGAGTGACGCAGGCGGAAGCAATAGCACCAAAAACACAGATTTAATGTAGATTCTTATTTTATAATTTTATTTTTTAAAATTTAAGTATATGGTAAATAAGTTTATAAGATTTAAAGTTAGGAAAACCCATCTTTATTAGGAGCAACCTTAAATTCAAAAACCTTAAGGAAATTAAAATAAAATCCAAAATAAAAATAATAAATCCAAATATTTTAAAAAAATAACAAAAATTGTCCAACTTTCTAGGCATAATTCTGAAAGATGCAATGACAAAGTTCTTTTCATAATAAAATTATTTATAGAATCACTCACTTGAAAATTTTTTAACCTGATTCTAAAATAAGATCTCTGTTATCTCAATTTGATGATGTTAACCTCTCTTAATATAAATAAGTCTCCCCTTAAAACTAAATTTATTCCAATAGTTTATAAAAATTTTATTATGCTATCCACATTATCTACTTGGATAATATTACTATATAATAAAATTTGATTAGGAGTATTGTAAATATTATTTTTAAAATATAATTTTTTGGAAATACATTAAAATAATATAATTTTTATTTTAAAAAATTATTTTTAACATCAACACATCAGAAAAATATAAAAATATAAAAAAAATAATTTAAATCTAAAAAAATCAAAAATATAGTTGGACAAGAATGCAAAACAAAATCATAATACATATTCGTATAAATGTTACTTACAACTTTGACTCAATTACAACTTTGATAGTTGCTTAATGTTCTTAATATGTATGGTAGGAAACTATTTAATTTAATTTCATATATAAGTATTTTACTTTGATTAATAAGTTGGCATGTTATTTTTAGTAATCACACTTTTAATTTAAACAGAACATGTGCAATCTAAAAAATATCAAAGAAATATTCTCTTATAAATTAATATATTTTTTGAGATGTTATAACTGACTTTAAAATTGATTGATAAAGAATTTAGTTTTGATGTCCAAAAGTCCTTACCACCTCTGTATATTAATCAAACACTATCAAAAACATAATTGGTTGGAAAGATGAAAATAGCGACATAAAATAAAACAGGTTTTTTACCGTAATTTTTTTTCAAATTTGGACATAAAAACATTCTAAATTAATTTATAGCAAAACAAAGCATATTTCTATAAATTAAATACACAGAGAAGCATACCAATTACGACTCTTTCCAGAGCACACCTCGGTATATATGCTAATTAATGCGGTCCCTTGTCTGAGTCAATTAAAACTGCTTACATTGTATAAATAAACTATATGTTATATTGTTAAAATAGATTATATGCTTGCTGAGCATAAATCGCCTGCTATCATGTTGTCACATGTGGACAAACAAGAATATTTATATAAATCTCTCTTTGAAATTTGTGGAGATGAAACTCTTCTAATTTTTAGTCGATAAATTTTGGAGTTTCCTTCGTAGTCCGATCATAGTCCAGAATTTTTGGGCATTGGATCAGTCACAGATTCCCATTGCTCGAAAGAACAAACAAAGAGGAAACATTTTTTTACTTTTGATTGAATCCTGCCTCTTGTAACCCCACTAGGCCACAATACCCTTTTTTTGTTTCTTAATTTTCTTACCAATTGTTGCATAATTCACTAATTTACCTGGTTATTAAACTCGGCTAACTAGCATATCAATCTGGCTCGGGCAGATTTCATAATAAATAATAAATAAAGATTGATTTTGTATAATTCAATCAAAAATCTATATTGATTTGTAATTTGGTTAACCTGTTCAATAATAGTTGATTTAAAAAAATTAAAAAAATATTATTTTAATTTAAAAAATTAAATCAATTTAGATTAATTCATGAATTAATTAGAACCTGTTTATTTCTCCATTTTAAAAGTATTTTAAAAAAATTATATTTTTATTTATTTTAAATTAATATATTTCTAGTGTTTTCAAATCATTTTAATGAGTTGATTTTAAAAATAATTTTTAAAAGATAAAAAAAAATATTAATACGTATTTTAACCTAAAAAATTAAAAAACAATGAGAAGCATACTGTCAAATAAAAATAGTATTTAATGACTATTTTAATTTAAAGACTTCATTGGAGACAGAAACATTTATTGGTGGAATTAATGTCCTCGCAGTTTTTTCAGTTGATATGAGAAACATTGATAATGTAATTTGCAGGCTGTGTTTATAACCAAGCAAATTGCAATTTAATTTTGTTGACGAGTTCGAGTCACGTCTCTTACATCATGAATTATTACAAAAATAATTGAAACTCTTTTATCGGGTCTATCCCAAAATCCAACTGGGTGGTCCAGTTACCGAATAGACAGAGGAGCAAATGCTAGACAAAAAATTGCCTCCATGGGCCACAAAAAAGTTCAATTATTGGGGACTTTTGTGCCAGTTCTTCTCAAGTGCTTTTATGTTTATTCACATCTTGATAGCATCCTGCTTGGCAAAGGAAAAACACTTCTTCATAGAGAAATTAATGCTATGCAATAATTTGTGTTTCCTGCTTGTGAATTTACTACTAATTATCTAGGTTACTTGAGTTATCTATGAAGAATAAAGGTATTTGGAAAGACTCCATCGGCACCTAGGCTACGTAAAGGCTAAAGCAAACCATTTTTTTGGAAAGAAATAACAATTATAGCAAGCCAAATGAGATCATAAATGTGTCAAATTTCCTATTTGGTAGGTTTTTATATGATTCCCTTTGTTTTATGAATAAAGAAGGTATATTAGGGTTAGCTTTGAAAAATTATGAAAATTTTACTTCTGGCAATCTCAAATGAGATCTCACTTTGATGTTTGGATCTTGATAGCTATCATGAGAGAACAATTTCTTATTTATCTCACTCTAGTTTTGTTATGGTTCTTAATATATTGAAATTAGTAAAATTAGATATTTTGATTAAAGATACTAAATAAAACTTATTTTATATAATAATTACTTTAAGTATTCATAATATTACCCCATAAATAAAAATTAAGCTCTATTACAATACACGAAAAAAAAACGTAATTATCACAATCGTTTAAAGGAGCAGTAAGATCCTTCAATAAAACGTGTGTTTTTTCAAACTTTTTTTCCCCTTTAAATAACTTTGAATATATAAATAATGAAATATAATTAATTTAAAAATAAAATAAAAGCAGGCCCGTTAAAGATGACATGGCCAATTTAAAGAAAAATAAATAAATATGATGTAAGATAAATAATTTATGACTTTAGACTATATATATATATATATATATATATAAAAGATGATGTAAAATACAGGTTTGTTTTAACCGAAAAAAAAAAGCCTTGTGTTTTTTTAATGCGAAATTAAATGGCATTAATTGACTGAAACTACTCATCAAGAAGTGAGTTGAAAATAGTGGTCGGTTCAGTTGTGTTCAAATGAAATTTATTTCTTACCTAGAAATAAATAGACCGACTCCAAGAAAATCAGATTTCGAGGTAATCTCAAGCAACAATTCTGGGCCCCCTGCTTTTCTTTTCTTTTTCCTTTTCCTTTTTTTTTTTGTTTAATTTTTGTTTGGGAGTTTTACTGCTTACAAAATCACAAATATACTTCACTCTCTTCCTATTTATCCCAAATTAACTATGAATTTAATACGATCTCAGATTATTTGATATGGCTACGCACTATGGAGAGCACATTTTCATATATGGTCACCTCTTGGGCTCAGCTTCCCCTCCCCTCCTCCCACGAAGAATTCTGAGTTTATTTGAATCCCTCTGAAGTTGAGAAATTTGTGATACAGTGTTTTGCTTATTGTTTTGTATATAGGTGCTAACAATGATGCTATTTTCAACTTTACAGCATCAAAATCATATCTATTTTTTGGTTTGGATTTTAAAATGATCATTCACGTCTGAATTCAATTTGAGAAAAATTCTCACGATCTATTCCTATTTTCAATCACCTAAAAACGATGCATCCCGTGAAATTCTCAATGACATGTAATTTCATCTATATACATGATTTAGTGGGATTAATTCATTGTTGTTAAATTAAAAAAATAGCAAAATAATATAATTTGGTTGACATGATTAATATATATATATATATATTATACTATATTTTTTTGCTAATTTTTTTATTAGCAAGTTATGAAAAGTAATATTATCATTATAATTCTTTTATTTTTAGATATTTAATTTTTCTTGTTTAAAATTATATTATTAATACTTATTCAAGTTTAATGAATTATTTCAAGATGGTGTGTATGCTTTTTAGTTTTTTTCATTATATAATTATTGATAAGGACTAAAGTAAAAAGTAAAAAAATTAATTTGATTGATACAACTCTCATTGTGATTTATTAAAAAAAATTAATTTTGATTTATTAAAAAAAATTAAATTAAATTGTCAAGGTTTTTAATATTTGTATAGAATAATTTCACAAACTTTATTTTTAAAGTTATTGCCGAGTGAATAAAAAATAATTTTAATATTAAATTCACTTGAAGGTAAGAAATTAATTAGAGAGCTTTGTCTCCTTAATTTACTTGTATTTTTATTGATTTCTTTTAGTTTTAAAAGATATAAAATTTATTTATTTGATGTGAAATAATATTTATTTTACTTTAATAATTAATAAATTTATAAAAATAAATGTATGGATCCTCAAATTAAATTAATGATATATTAATTTATTATTTTTATTTTTAAAATTTCATTTCTTTAATGTTTTTATTCAAATCTCTTGTTTTTTTTATTTCAATATCTATCTTGTAGAAAGATTAAAAGAAGTTCAATCTAATTTTTATGATTTTATTATAAATTTATTTTGTTTATAATAATAAAATTAAAATTATATTTTAAATGTTTGAAAAATAACCAATAATTGATTAACTTAATTAAACTCAATGCAAATTTTAAGAAAAAAACATTTAAAGAGAACTAAAACAATATTATATTAATAAAATAATTATCCTCTTCAAGTTGAGAACACAAAGACGTGCTCCCTCTCATGGTCTCAAACTCCAAATATTGTTACCGCGGGAATCAACGAATCATCTTTTCATTTCCCTCTCACACTCACTCACACGTGCTCAACAAAAAAAAAATCATTTTAACGGTAGAAAAAGCAACTCCTTTTCATTTTCAATTGACTAAACTACCCCCACCAAGCCTTTCAATCTCTTTCCAGCCGACACGTACGGTTATGCGGAATTAACGCCTTAACCGTCGGCGGGACCCGAAATTCAGTGGCAATCCTGTAAATAACCAATATACCACACTGTCATAAGACAATTAAAAAAAAAAAAAACAAGAAGCCCCAGTTTTGTTCTTCTATATAACAACCTGACACGGAGAACTCAGTCGAACAACAACGCCACTTGAGTACATAGCGAGTGAAAAACTGTCGGCAAAGGTTGTAAAACAACTGTTTCTTTAACTGTTTTTCTTGGGTTCTCCGCCTGGAAAGTGACATTGTAAAGTATAGATAGTGGTGGTTGCGGTGGTGATTGGTGGCGCCGCCTGTTTGTTAGAGAGACCATTTGGTGCGAAGACCCTTTTGGCTCACAATGCAGCTCTTGGGGTTATATGTTGTGGTGTTCTTAAAGTGCTTTTTGGGTGTCTTTGGGCAGCAAGTTCACCCTCGACATAATGTGGCTGACTTACACTGGAAACCGGCTACTGCCACCTGGTATGGCAGTCCTGACGGTGATGGTAGTGACGGTGGGTGTTCATTCTATGTACTCACTGTTGTATTTCCAATTTTGTAATTTTTGGTGCAACATTTTTTTTTTTATCTTAGATCTCGTTTTCTTTGTTTTCATGGTTAAACTCGGTGAGTTGACTCACAATTTGCCTCGTCCACTAGCCTTGGTAAAAGTTAACGGGGAAAATAGTTTCTTACTTTTCTTCTTGTTTCTTTATTTATTGGTGATAAAGAAACCATGTACTCTTTCCTTTGTAAAGAGATGGCGCATATACTTAGCAATTTGGGCACCATGTTTCCTAAGTTCTCGCATTCCGAAAACCTAATTTTGCATCCCTAAAGTATGTGACAGCATGTAATGTGTGCAGGAGGTGCATGTGGGTACGGGTCATTAGTGGATGTGAAGCCATTTAGGGCCAGAGTTGGTGCCGTGAGCCCAGTACTCTTCAAGAATGGTGAAGGATGTGGGGCATGTTACAAAGTTAGGTGCCTAGACAAAAGCATATGCTCAAGAAGGGCAGTGACCATAATTGTTACAGATGAGTGTCCAGGTGGGTATTGTTCCAATGGCAACACTCACTTTGATCTCAGTGGTGCAGCCTTCGGTCGCATGGCGATTTCGGGTGAGAATGGTCAGCTCAGGAACCGAGGTGAAATCCCAGTCATTTATCGCAGGTATGGACGAGGGCTTATGTTTTGTATGTGTGTACTGTTTGTGGTTAATCGTTTTCTTCTCCCTTTCTAGTTTAACTGCCTGTGTTTGTCATGTTTATTTTGTCACTTCTCTTAATAATTTTGGTTTTTCTCTTTAATCTTTCTATTATAAAATGACACAAAAACCCTTTTTGTAGGACCCCATGTAAGTACCCAGGGAAGAACATTGCCTTCCATGTCAATGAAGGCTCAACAGATTATTGGCTATCCCTTCTAGTGGAGTTTGAAGATGGTGACGGTGATGTTGGATCGATGCATATTAGAGAAGTAAGCGATCTTCTTCCTTAATTTCTGTTGTTATTCATTACATTTTGGACTTTAGGCTCCGGAATCTTGGCCATGTCTAACTTTGTAGTGTGCATATAAGAGAAGTAAGCGATCTTCTTCCTTAATTTCTGTTGTCATTCATTACATATTGGACTTTAGGCTCCGGAATCTTGGCCATGTCTAACTTTGTAGTGCAGAGTGAGATGCCATTCACTTCATGCGTCATGACTCGATAAAGTGCAAATAATCTATCATCTTTAGGGGTGTTGGTGCGCGCTACAGAGCATCTTCGAAAGTGTTCGCGTTCACTTTTAAATAAAAAGAACTGCCTAAACGTGCTAAATTAGATAATCAAAGTAGTGCCCCTCTCATGAAAAGCAAGGGTATTGCTAATTTTAGACCTTGTAGTCAAGTGGCAAAGTCCAACATCACCCAATCTTTGGTATTGCTAATTTTAGACCTTGTAGTCAAGTGGCATAGTCCAACATCACCCATCTTTGTGAAGTTAACTTTGCACTTTCTAGTTCTGCTTGTGAATGGAGCCAATGTGCCCAATGACCCCAAAAGTACTCTGTTTTTCCTGCTTGGTTTTTTATCTCTTCTGTTCAACTATTTTCTTGACTCGTTGCATGTGATAAATGGGAAACTCTCTGAAGCTCAAGAATCTGAAAGGGAAAATCTAAGGACTTAGTGGATTCTAGTTTCTGAAAAGAGATCTAGAGATAAAAAAGGAAAAAGGGTATAAATCTCTTTATTCAAATAGAAATTCTATGCTTGTCTCACATGATTTTACATCTCTATTGACAGGCAGGAGGCACTGAGTGGCTAGAGATGAATCACGTATGGGGTGCAAATTGGTGTATTATTAGGGGACCCTTGAAGGGTCCATTCTCCGTGAAATTAACAACACTATCAACAGGAAGAACACTGTCTGCAAGAGAAGTGATTCCAAGAAATTGGGCTGCAAAAGCTACTTACACCTCCAGGCTCAATTTCTTCCATTAATATGCCAGGGCTTCATGCTTTTCTTGGTGTGAAACCAAAGAGAGAAACAAGCCCATTTTTATGACTGGAAATCGTGCCTTGTTCCCTTGACAGAAAAGTAGCCGTTGACTGGCGTGGTGAATTTTTTTTTTTAAGGAAAAGTAGCCGTTGGATTGAATAATGGCATCCAAAGCCCTTTTCTTTTTCTTTTCTCTTTTCTCTTTTCTCTCTCTTTTTTTTTTGGTGTCTCCTTTTGTGGTGTGTTTTAATTTAGATCATCAATGTAGCCCTCTCCAAAGGAGAGAGAGCGTATAATATCTATTTTAAGTTTGTGTAAGTTTTTAGGCCCTTTGGGTCATCAATGAATTTGGACCGTTGAATATTAGAGATTAGAGCTTGCTTGTGGGACCTTGTTCATCATTTCTTCACTACCACTTCATTGTTTATCAGTGCCTTTTAGCGAACAAAAATTAATTTGTTGCATAATTCAATGCCTGCTCATGGACATTACTAAAGTAAATAGAATTTAAACTCTATAACTATACAAATAATAGATATTATTTTAAACGATATCCAACCTCACATATTCAATTTCAGCAAAAAAAAAAAACAAAATCTATATATATATATTACTATTCGTGGTCTAGAATCCTGCTTCTTCCTCTCTTTTTTTTTTATTTTTATTAAAGGTAGTACAACTTCGTCACAAGTTGAGTTCTCGTAACATTTAATTGGCGATGACAGACATTTAAAAAATAAAATAAAATAAAATACAGTTTCTCTGTCAAAATCTTTTAGGTGTTCGCTTGGATAATTACAGGATTTGTTATTCTCAAGTATGAATCTATATATAAAGCTCTTCTAATGAATTAACAAGTTTAGGTGTGGATGATTTACATTAAACCTGATTGGAAATAGATTTAGTACATAATAATTTTGGTCAAGGATGATTAAAAAATGCCTTCCCTGTTAAAGGGAAACTGTTGTCGATATATGCTATCTTCGTGTGTTAGAGCATGTGAATGAAAGAAAATCTAAAAGAATCCAATGGATCGGAGAACTATTCAAAATTGAATAACATTAATGTTTGTTGTCCTCAAATATCCTGTATGAGGCTGGAGGTGTTCCACGACCTAATTAAGAACGTGAGAGCGAGGCAAAATATAAATGTACATTAAACTCACATGCACACTGCTTGTTATAGATTTATAGCAACTAACCCTAGCTTGGTGGGTTGTGGACTTATGGCGTGTGGTGACAAAGAAAATTGTGAATACTCCATGTGGAACGAGGTCCCCCAGCTGATTGCAACTTGTGAAAGGATATATATTCATATATATGATTCGCTCAAATATTATAACGGCATCCGTGTATTCATTTGATCTTTATCTATCATAATAATAAGGAATGTCTCCTTTTGTAAATCTCTGCTTTGGAGATTTGTAGATCTATAGTATCTTACCAAGATCAATGCAGAAAACGTTGTTAAAGATTGGTAAAGAAGAAGAAGAAAGATATAGAATCAAAGCTAGCAGATCCATTTTGACTCGTTGTAACTCAGTTGGCAAAGGTGGCTAGCTATGGCTACTTTGGCATTTACCTCCATTTGGGTTCTTGGTGATTTAATTTGTCGTTTAAACCATTAACTATAATAGATGATGTGTGTTCTTGGTAACACCCTCTTTTTTCTTTTCTTTTTTTTTTAATTAACATAGATTTTTAAATTAATTTACGAACACTTCAACTAATATCATTCTTGGTAACACCTTTTTTTTTTTTTTTAGATTAATGTGGGTGTTCGGGCCAGCTTGCGCGCACCACGACTAATCCCACGGGCCCTAAAATTAACGATCATATAAGCCTCCAGTAACCATCATATGATAACATCTTTTTACCCTTACTCCTTCTAGCTTCATGTCAAATTGGTAGCAAGTTCTATTTCAATGCACTCACGGTAGAAAGTTATTGAGATTAATTCTTTATGCCGGCTTAATAATGGAGATCCTTGTGTTATTATAATCGCAAGTGATTGCATGCATGCCTACAATTAGTCTAAAACTAGTTTTTTTTAATCCACGTGCAACGGGTCACTTTTTTTTTTTTTTAATCTTGAAAAATTATAAAGAAGTTGTGATTAAAAAGATTCGAGGCATGCTATTCTAAAAACAAATCCCAATATTCTTAATGCAAGTGTATTAAATCAAGACAAATCACCAATCCTAACCTCTAATTAAATAAACTTGGAAGAATCAAATTGAAAAAGAAAAAGAAAAATAATAATTAAAAGGACGAAATAAGAGAGAGGAGGGAACACTGTGCCCTCTGATTCACTTGGCCCTCTCAGTTTTTTTGTTTAATAAAGATTATTTTTGCTGGCCACTGATGACACAAACCCAAATTTCTCCATGATCTTTCTCTATCAAGAAAGGCTATCCTAAGTCCTAACTTCCTTTGAACGAGGGAACCAGGCAGCACTGGACCCCGGGCAGGGACCCCTTTTCTTTTGCTCAGTTGATAGCACGTAAAGGATCATGGAGAGTGTAGTAATGGTTATGTTTAAAATATTTTTTATTTAAAAATATATTAAAATAATATTTTTTAATTTTAAAAAATTATTTTTACCATTAAAATACATTAAAACGATATTAAAATATATAAAAAAATCACGGTATTAATTTTATGAGTATATTTCTGCATGGCAACGAGTTATCCTCATTAATATCAACCTTCTCAAGGATTCCAATTGCGTACTGTATGGGGTTTCAAAATTGAAGAACAGATCTAGCTAGATAAATTTGGAAAAAATTGCTTTGCCTGCCATGCCAAACTCCAGAACATGTACAAAGGGTACATATGCTTGTTTGCTCCAAGAAAACAAGTTCAAAATAAATATTCCATAACTGATCAGCATGGACATATACAAGTCTAATCAGAAAGAAAAGTTTTTCTTACCACCAGAAATGCAGCAGCTAACAATATATACAATAAAAAAAAAGAATGTACATCAATTTCTTGCCAGAAGTAATTATACTAAACGTAATGATTCTATATGCTCTATTAATAGCTGCTCGTCAACCCAAAAAGAAAGAACTTGTTCGTGATAAATCGAATCCTTGTTAAAAGCAAACTTTCCAATCGAGCATGCAAGAAAAGGATGAACTGACAAGGTTCATAACTTCATAAATACAAACTTCCAAACATAGCATCAAGCACTATGGCGGAAATGTATAATGCCAAAGGGTTTACAATGCTGATTTGGTTAGCTACAACATCAAGCACTAGTTAAATTGATTGTAGCACATTACTGTCATGTCATGGAACCACAACTTTATGATGGCCTATTATGTTGAGCCAAATTAAACAATCCACCAGCAATGTTCATAACCAGTAAGCAAGCACCGTGGAGCCTGTTATTCAAGGGGGCAATAATTCGAGCAAATCATAGCATTATTTAAAGGATTAAGAAGTAGACAAGTGTGGCATCCTCACTAATCAGCCATTATAAGCCAGTCATCGCTATGATGATTGTGTTAGTTGTTGTCATAATAGCACCAAAATGCAAATGCCTGACACATTATATGCAAGACATGCTTAGCCAAAAATCTAACAAGACAGAGAGTTTTCCCGCTAAAATAATCCTATCTCAAATGAGTTGATACTAGGTCTTCCTAACGCCCACAGATCTGCCTTGAAGATCGCTTTGTAGACATGCAAGACGCTCTCCAAATTTATGACCAACCTTTCCTTCGGAGATCTTAGTACGAACAAAAGTTTTTCCATTGTGAATTCGTACAAAGCTATTGACACATTCTGGCAAAGTAGTCGATCTTCGTGACCAATTTTTTCTGTTTGAAAGGCTCTATTACTTCTGCTTCGGACAAAACAGGAAAGCATGAATAGAAGGTTGTTCAGATGCAAGACCTAAAACATAGATGACATAGTCAATAAAAAAGCATTCATAATGCAAAACACACATCAGCATTTAGAACTCAAAGCAACAGTCATTCATCGCTAACTCGAACAAAGAGGTTTTTTGATGGAATGTAGCGAAAAGAGTTCAGCATAGAAGCCATTGAAACTTGCCCATTCTGCGACATGCTCTGCCTAGCTAGGCTCCCAAGTTTGTAACAGAATGCCATTTCAATTATGGACTATACTTCTACACCAAAACCACGATATCTCCAAACATTAACAGCATTCAACCTGCATAAACTAGAAAACATTTATCAATATGCAATCAAGCAACAAAAATTCCAAAGCAACTTTCAAAATTCCAAAATCAAACAAGGGCCATTTTCCGGATACCTCCTCTAATAAGATATCGGATAACTACAGTTGTTTGTCAAAATCTCAATCTTGAAAACAATTGATGAGCGAAACACAGGCGTTGTGCTAATACGCTGTACTGGATTATGTTTGAGAATAAAGAGTATTCCATCTCTTAAAATTTCCTGGCTAATGTCTCATTCCCCCCTCCCTTTCTTTGGAACGAGTTATCCACGTATCGAACTAGAAGAAACAGAAGATAGATTCCGGGTGATCTGCATAAGTTCATAGTAAGAACTAAACATCTCACCAGGGTGGTCTCTCGAAAGCTTTATCTGCCTCTCCAAATTGACTCGGATAGTAATTTGGTAATGCTTCATCATTAGCATGCTTTTCTGCTACAGCCCCTAGTGCACAAACACCAGCTCGCCCAGATATAAACCTGACATCCCTATTTTATCAAACGCATTCAACAACATCACCGAAAGTCAGAATCCACCCCCTTCAGTTTAGTAGCTTCAGATTTGCATATTGCACAAAGTTCTAATCAAAACCCAAAACCATATCACAAACAAAATGTACCATAAATTGAATCACAAACAAACCATACATTGAAACAAAATGTTTATGGATCAAATATATTTATTGATCATAGCACAACTGTTAAGTAACTTTTTGAATCTCACGTAGTTTTTTTTCCTGTAAAAAAACATGAATTTATTTTAATTTCACCGATCAAGTGATTAGACTGACAATGGTGTTTCTTTATGTTCTAAAATCTCTTACGTGACTTTTTCATAATTCAAAATGATTCATCTTAATGATTTTAACTGGGAGTTTCATATGAAAAATCATATATATTACTATTTAACAATTTTGTTTACTGAAATTAATTTAAGAATTTAGGATGTGTTAAGGATTTGATCAAAAAACTAATTTAGATAATAATCTTTATAGTTTGGAGATTTACCATTTTTTATATAGTTGATTGTAATAAAGATCTCTGTTATAATATTGAAGTTGTCTGTGTCTATATTTATCAAAGATTTGCTAAAAACTCTTATAATTAGTCACCAATGGTATGATGCACTAGTTCATGGCTTGAAAAGGAGAATTCCCTTTTCAATGCTCACAATATTTTAGGTCAAATTTCAGTTATTTAAGAAATAAATTGAATTAGAATCAAGAATTTGATGGTAATTAAAAAGAGAAAGAGAAAATATTATTGGATGTTACTTATGTGTCATGAGTTATAATTTATGATGGTGTCTCTTTGATTATTTTTTTTTTTTGAAATTCATACCTAATATTTAAGAAATATTGACTTAAACCAAAACTGAAGTCGAGCATCTAAATAAATTTAATTTAAAGGTGATAGTATTAAATGTTTTATAATATCATCATATTCCAATTAATGATTGGGATTAAAAAAGAGTTTGTCATAATCGAAAAGCTTTTTTATGGTGCATATACTCTGGTTACGTGATAATTAATTTTATTAACATTGAAACCATGATAAATTATTTAACAAAATCTTTACAAATTCTTATATAACTTACCGGTAGGTCTACATTAACATTAAAATCTTCTTTTGTCAAAATATTTATTATACCAAAAGATTTGGGCAGAATGTGTAATTTCTTATACCTGAGGAGCTTTAAGTTAATTTACCCTTACAGAACATCAAGACATCTGGGGGAATCTTTGACCCAGCTTAACAGATCCGAACACAACGTTAACTGCCATAACGACCACCTAGGAAAAGCAGAGAGGAAAATCTCCAAATAATCTCCATTAGCCCAAAATATTAGAGACAAGAAATTGCATCAAATCATCAACCATGTCATCCTCTTTTGATTCATTCACCCCTGAAGGAGATCAAAATGACCCCACAGTGCTGCATGTCCAACACGATCATGTGTCACCTACCTCCCACCCTTTTGTTGATGATGGCTACACAGGTGATGACTCGTCATTCCCTGGAGAAACGCCATTGCCACAAGAAAATTTCTCCAATGACAACATGCATTCTTCTGAGGGGTATGGGTTTGGTTTGCCTTCTCCAAGTACTGAATTTGCCTCACCTTTTGAGACTGATGGTGGTGGTGGTGATGGTGTTTTTGCTTCTGATGGGCCAATTCTGCCTGAACCCGGTGAAATGCAGGAGTTAGGAGTCAAATTCCGTGAGTGGCGCAGGTGCGTTTTTGTTTTTGTTTTTATTTTTTTGTACAAACAAGTTAAATTTGTTTTCTTGAATGGATCTTGGTTCGAGTCTTGTACATTTGGAATTTACAATGGGGTGATTTATTTATGCATGATGAGATCTAGGATCACCAATATGGCCATTTTAGCAAAGGGTTCTTATCATTTTAATGTAAGCTGATAAGTATTGATGTGATAGCAAATTTATAGAAAGACAGGCCTCAATCTTCTAACTTTGGGATGATCTCATTCTATGTTTTTGCTTATTGGTATAGACATAAACTGACATAAGAATTGGTCATCGGAGACCATGAAAAGGAAAATGTGATGTTGATGAGTGCCTAAGCCTTCTGTTTTTGGAAGCAGTAAAGCATCTGTTTTGTCTTGATTTATAGTTGGCACCTTCATCATCATATGATCATTGTCCTACTTGATTTATGTTTTTGGAGGCTAGCTGATATAACATTTCTTATTAGAGCACCCATATGGAATGAGAATCTGTATCCTTTATAGTACAGTGAGGTTGAATAGTCAGCCTATGTTTTGCCAGAATTTCCCCAAATAGGTTCGAAAAGGTTTCTTGCTAGCATTAGCAATCAAGGTCAGCCTTCATTAGCCTCCACTGGTAATTAACACCCCCTCCCGAGGTTGTAGCTGACGGATTACCTAAAGAAGTAACTTTTTTTTGAGTTTTAGAAATAAATAGAAAAGATGGAAGAGTGCAAGCCAGTTCTCTAATAAATGCAACTGCTACTGCATTATCTCTTTCTTTTTGGAGCGGGCGCATGTTTACTAAGTTGGTGTTTTTGTCGGTTAATTAATTGTGAAATATAAGAACGAAGCTGGCAAGCAAAGATTAGCTGCAAAACTAAATGTCCTGTCGTAATGTTTAATATTTTTTAATTGAGTTCATCTTCGTGGCTACCAAGTTTAGAAGTTGAGGGTTGTGAAATCAAAGTGGTGATTCTAACGATCTTCTGATTGCTTTTAAAATAATATGACAAAACTTGCTTGATATGAAGCAATGGAGTACCAAAACCTCTTTGATTTTACACGCCGCTGTTTTTGCGTTACAGTACCATACTTGTACTGCACCACGAATAGTTCAAAATCTTAATGTCTGAAAGGGCTTTTAATCGTTATAGTTACTTCAGAATGTTGAAATCTTTCAGACTAATGTCTCTCTCTCTCTCTCTCTCTCTCTCTCTTGATCATCTATCATGTATTTCACTAATGGTGTTTCTGGCATCATTGAGATTTTCTCAGCCATCTGTTATGATCCAGTTCTAATGAAAAGAAACTTAGAAAATAGAACAGACTAAAAGTTGCTGCAGCAGGCTAGCTAGCTATCTTTGATAAGGTGCATTATCAGTGCAGACTCGAATGGTTTTTGTTTTGCCTGATCGCATGCATATATGATGGAAGTTCTTTGGGGATGAGCAAGGCACCAAACCTATGGATGGATAAAAGTTTTACATTTTCGACGTGCTGAAACAGATTTGACATTCATCTTTTGCAGGCAAAATGCCCTCCATTTAGACGAAAAGGAGAAGAGAGAGAAGGAGATGAGAAACCAGATCATCAATGAAGCTGAAGAGTATATACGAGCTTTTTATGAGAAGAGGCAGCAGAATTGCGAAAATAACAAAGCTCAGAACAGAGAAAGAGAGAAGGTAAAATTTCTGAAAAGCCACTTTTCCTTGTCTCCTCCCTATCTTTTCCGAAGCGGATATGAGCTCTCAAGTTCCGCATTCCTTCCATCTTTATTATGAAGTAAATAAAAGAATGCGTTTTTTCTGCAGCTGTACTTGGCCAATCAAGAGAAGTTCCATAAAGAGGCAGACAAACATTACTGGAAAGCCATTGCAGAGATCATTCCTCGAGAGGTGCCGAACATTAAAAAGAGAGGGGGTAAGAAAGAGGATGATAAGAAACCATCCATTATGGTAATTCAGGGTCCAAAACCTGGAAAACCCACTGATCTTTCAAGGACGAGACAGCTTTTCTTGAAGCTGAAACAGAACCCTCCACCTCACATGATGCCTCCCCCTCCCACACCCGCCAAAGATGGGAAGGATGCAAAGGATGCAAAGGATGGGAAAGATGCAAAGGATGGGAAGGATGGGAAAGATAGCAAAGGTGAAAATGAAGGGAAAGATGCCAAGAATGAGAAAACTCCCGCACCAACATCTGCTACTGCAGCTGCAGCTGCCGATGGAAACAAGCCTGCTTCACCCTGTAAAGACATTGCCAAGAGTAGTTCTTTTGACTTGTCGAAATTAGATGTTCTTGCTGCAGCTGCTGCCGAAGGTGAGCAAGCTGCTGAAGGTGAGCAATCTGCTGAAGGTGAGCAAGCCACTGCTTAGTGATGGTTCCTATTATTCATACCATCATTTCCTATTCTACTTGTAAGCTATCAGCTTCACCATTCGTTATGCAAACTGCGAATAAGTTCAGCTCTCTATAGATGTTATCGAGCTTCCTTCATGAACTGTGGAGAGCTTTCTTCCTAACTTAGGATGTTCTAGGCTTTACTTGCAAAAGATTTCTGTTAATTCCAATTTTTTTCCAGAATTGTTTAGCTAAATCTTCTTTCGTGCTTGCTTCTGCCTGTGATGTTTATGAACGTGCCCTTTAAGCATATTTATATGTTCTACTACACCTATGCTAGCAAGAAAGCCACAAGTTGTTATGATAATTATGCATCCTAAAATTTGTGTGCGACCATGTGAAGTACACTCGATCAATTAATGTGGGGATGCATTCTTGGGCTTTTTGAAGAGGAAATTCAACCTTGATTGATTTGCAAGCTAGACGAGGATATACTCCTTATTGCCCCATCTTAATCCATTTCATATAATTTTTCTTTGGGAAAATTTATTTTTTCCCTTGGAGATTTATCTATATTCCACTTCTCTATATATTTTTAAAACCTCTTGATTTACCCTTCTAGCTTCCAAGACATTTTAAAGTTACCACCTTAAACCATTAAGTGTATATTTAATATTACAAGAGTTTTTATGGTTATAATTTAAAACAAAATAAGTTTAAAAAAACATTATATTTTACTAAAACTACAATTAAAATTGATATTGAATATACAAAATTAAAAAAATATTTCGTTAAAATTATTGTTAATAATAAAATAACTAAAATTAACATGTAGTAATTTTATTTTATAAGTTCAAAATATATAAGAAGGAGTGTATGATTATTAATACAAACTAAATATAAGAAGTCCTATATATTTTACATGAGATCATTCTAATCATACATGATTTAGTCGAACAAAAAACAAGGAGGTAATCACAAAACAGTGTTTAGGGACCTTATCATTTCAAAAACGTGGGCGTTAATGGATGTTGATTTTCGACAAAGAAGAAGTGTACATCTTCAGCAAAAACTTGGGTCTCGGAGGGATTTCCTCACCAAGTTTTTAGCTTCTGCAAAAACTTCCCGACGATAATTCTTCTGATTAGTTTAAAGGACGGTGAGGTTATTTTGGTCTTGTAGCAAATTCAACGGTAATAAAAAGCTGCTCGCAGAGGAAAGTGAACAAAAAGCATAAGTTGCTTTCCAAAAACTGAGGGCATGCCTCATTTATTGGTGGGACCAGGTACAAATCTTGGGTACCATTTTATAACCAAAACAATATAAAAGCAGAAGCAATCTCTCTGTAAAACAGAGTATGTTTTATATTATTGTAAAAACATTTTTTTAATTTGTTTTACTTTAAAAATACATTATTCTTTACATTGATATATTAAAACTATTTGAAATACTAAAAAATTATTAATTTAATGTTTTTTAAGACAAACACACCTTCAAAACACTTCTAAATAAAAAAAAATGCTTAAATAACAATTTATTAAATTGATTATAAGGTTTGTTTCGTTTTTAATGTTTTTTTTTTATAAAATATTATAAGAACAGGAGAGGAAAAAAACGCAAAAAAAAAAAGTGAGAATTTTTTTGATTATTTAGTTATAATGGTTGAAAATGATACTATTTAAGAAGGGGAACATGGATGAATTTATAAGGGCAAAATTATAATTTATTATTTTATTTTTTATTAAAGTCTCTCTCTCTCTCTCTGAGAGAAATCATTTTGTACCTCAAATTTATAATTCTCATAAACTAGGTTTATTTATGGGCCAAGCATGAAAATCATGTACCATGTTTGATTAAAATGGGCCAAGACTTCAGTATACAAAGCTTGGTCCAATAATGAAAGCCCATGGATCATTATAAGATTAAAATGGGCCACTTAAGACAGGGAAAGAAGGCAGAACCTGATGAAGGAACAACAAGAACAAAAAGACAAGGCAGAGTGCTTTTCGCTGATGCATGACATCTGATTGATGCAGTGGAAATCTGGGAAGCTTAAAGAAAAAGTAGGGATTGCTTACAGAACTCTTTTTCAAAGGGTTGCAGCCTAATTTCAAATATACAGTACAATAAGATTGTTAGATGAAGCATAGAAAGCTTTCTGATACATGGAAGAGGATGGCTGCTCTCCGAATGGATGTTCTTATAATGTTATTATCCGAGGATTTCTCCAGCACAAGAATGCAGCAAGCGCAGCACAATTTATTCATAAAATGAGAGACAGGATTCTCTGCCGATTCCCCCACAAAAGCCTTAGTGGTGGATCTGTTATCTAATTAATGATGACAATCTTTTTCTGAGCAAGCATCCAGGCTTACGAGAAGGTTGTCAAGCCGAAAAGGTTACGTAAATTTTTCATGCTCGATGCTGCTAATTCATGCTGCAAAAGCAGCGTTTTGTCACAGTGTAAGTTATTTTCAGTTCCACCTTGTGAAAATCTGGACAATGGCACCAATCACTTGTTTTTTCTTCATACTGTCATTAGTTACATGTTTTGGAATAGCATTCACCTCCTGTCGATTAATGTGTTCTTAAATAGAGTTAGCTGATGAGAACTATCGAAGTTTTCTCATATTGATGAAATCCAATGCTATTGATTAGCTTACTCACTTATTCCTAATGAACTATCATGGAGTTCTTTCCTGATAAACTATCCTTTCTTTCGGCTGTGCTTTCGCTATATATTTTTGTGATCCTTTTAAACGGAAACAAACGCAGAAGAAATCTTAGTTTGGCTGCAAGATCACTTGAGACAAACTAGCATTAAGTTGGTGAATTGTCATCGTATTATTACATCATGTGTATAAACTTCAAACATAACTTTTCTGTAGGTAATGTCATCCATATAGTGAGACAAAATTTCAAATTGACTAATAAACAATGGAGGGAAGGTTGGGGGTGCTCTCAACTGACATCAACCCGTGCCTTTTTCTTATTATGAACTTGTGTTCAGATCCTTTAGAACCTTAATTATGTTTCTTACCACTTTCTTAACATCTAAGCGCTCGGAATCTGCTTCAGCTCTCCCTAGCTCTTGAGATTATTTAGGAAAAAAAATGCATTATCAACGTTGGAGCATTGTCATTTGTTACAACTCATTCTAGGAGCTGAAAACGTAAATATCGAGGACATAAACGACACTAACATCATACCTGCTATCTTGTTCTGCAGAAACCTGAGGGCATGAGATCATTTGAAACACAATTAGGACCTGGTAGCAAGAAAGGAATATCAATGGATACAAGACCTGACACCCTCTCAGGGTGGACAACGATAAAAACCTGGTGCCAAAATCAAAGCATTACATTTACATATGTGCATAAAATCAAAATGAAGGTCTTAGGAATTATTTTTCTTTTTCATTCTCTGTTTCTTAAATACTTCCCTAGATCCAAGGTCTTCAACAATACTGGATATCCAACATTTAAAGGAAAATTCGTTGTCGATTCATACATGCATGCCCTGCAGAGCTTGTTGTTTACCTCATCTTTGTTATGTGAGAAGTTGTTGCAACACTGTTGAAACTGATGCATGCTTGACACTTCAATCACATATAGCTCACTTAAATTGCTAATTAAGGGTAGGTGCTGATAAAAATTGCGCGAATCCCTCACGGTGCATTTATTATATATGATAACACTAATCAGATGAACAATCCACTTTCATGACGCAAGGAAGGAAGAATAACAAGATTGGTTCTCAGACTGAGATAGTAATGTTTGATCTGTGCACAATTCTCAAGGCAGGAAACAGACCACATGAAGGCCATTCATTTTCTGACACCAAAACGAAGATCTATAAGAAATGGGAGGGTGAAATAATTATTGCACAGAACCTTCAAGCAGTTCAACACTATATGATGTTAAAGGTGAAGATCAAGTTCACCAAGATCACAGGCTCACAGCAATACAGCTCAACTAATAAAATTAGTGCACTATGAACGACCCATGTTTAGCAGATAAAAAAAAAAACAAGTAAACAACATCAAGGCAAAGTTGATGGGAGTTATGATCAAACTCAAACTCGTGAAAGCACGAAAGTTAGCATTCGTGTGGTTCATCTGAATCAAAATTCAAGTGATGCATCATTTAAAACCAAAAATCTATGCAAATCATGACCACATTTATCCCAAGAGTGTCAAGAAGGGAAACAACATTATCTACAAGGTCCATAAAGGTCCCTTTCTCTGGTTCAGCTGGCTGTTCAGAGTGGCCATTATCAGATCTTATACTTCTTCGTCAGCTTCTTCAAGCACCACATCTAGCAGTAGAAGACAAAATGACAAAGTGGGTTCTTTTAATTTTAGGATGAACATCAATGATGCCTTAGCTACCTTCCATCACATGATTCATTTGCATCCTCTGCCTTTTGTTGTCGAATTCAATAAATTATTGTCTGCAATTGTTAGAATGGGACATTATGAGACTGTGATTACTCTTTCCAAACAAATGGAATTAGCTGGAATCTCTCATAATGTTTATACTCTTTCTATCTTGATTAACTGCTTGTCGCCCTTGAATCATGTCGATCTTGGCTTCTCTGTCTTGTCCAAAATCATTAAACTTGGTTTTCAACCCGATATCGTCACATTTTCTACCTTAATCAATGGCCTCTGCACAGTGGGTAAGGTTGCTCAAGCTGTGAAATTCTTAAATGACTTTGTGGCAAGAGGGTATCAACCTCATGTCCACACTTATACTACTATTATCAATGGCTTATAGAAGATTGGGGAAACCACTGTGGCTTCTGGCTTGCTTAAGAAAATGGAAGAGGCGAATTGTTTTCGAAACTCTCTGTCAAAGGGTTGCAGCCTAATTTTCAGACATACACTACAATAATAAATGCATTTTGCAAAGAAGGATTGGTAGATGAAGCATTCGAACCTTTCCGAAAGAGGGAAGGGGATGGCTACTCTCCAGATGAATGGTCTTATAATGTTATTATCGGAGGATTTCTCCAGCATAAGGATGCATCAAGGGCAGTGCAACTTATTGGTGAAATGAGAGATAAAGGGTTCTTTGCAGATGACCACACCAAAGCCTTGGTGATGGATCTGTTATCTAACGATGAAAATGTGGAAAATAGCTTCAATCACTTGCTCTTTTTCCATGTTTTCCATTAGTTACATGTTTTTTACTAGCATTCGCCTCTTGTAGATTATTCTTGCACGTATATGGATGTTGATAAATACTTGGTTGAAGACTCAAGTATCTTTGGACAAGAGCATGCCTTTTTTTTATTTCCCTGATGAACTATCCTTTATTTCTGTTCTGGTGTTGCTATATATTCTTGTGTTCCTTTTTAATGGAAATTAAGGTAGAAGAAGTCATAATTTGACTACAAGGTAAAAAGGGACGAGCTGAAATTGAACTGGAGAATGGTTCTTGCAGTGCCTGCTTCACCTTCAGTACATCACATCAGTTCTAGGAAAATGGAATCATTACAACATTTTTTTTTCTGCTACTAAACCCTCTCATAGTGTTGCCTCATGCACTTGCTAGTGTTAGGACTGGTCTTCCTCATTCCTCAACTAAATCTTGAGCAGATCTTCATCTATAGTTTCTGCAGGTTATATTAGCAAGCGAGACATTTGACTTGCTTTTTTATTAAGAACAGTTAAACTCAGCTTTAAGGTGGTTATTTGGAACTGAAACTCCAAGAAAACCTGTCTCCTTAAGAGAAGCACTGGACTTTCCCTGCCAACAGACCACATCAAATGAACCAAAAGATGATTTAAAAAAAAAAAAAAAAAACATTTACAAATGTATTGAAGGAACAAAATTCTGCTTAAAGAATAGGAAAAAATAACTAGTAAGTTCTAACCTCTTTGTAGATGGAGACAGTAGAAGGGAGTACAGAGGCTGCTTCCACACAATTTTAAATTATTTAGGAAATATAATTAATTTTAATTGTTTTGTAAACTAACTCGAGGGGAGAGACTTTTTTATATATTCACGATGCGCTGAAACCCATGACTTGGTGGAGACTTGACCCATTTAGCTATGGGCTTGTAAAGGTAACTGCTGGTTTTAGTGTAAGCTGTCTAAAATATAAGGTAGGGTTTTTGATCCATTTAACACCGCCGTTCACCAAGGCCATCATGCATCATTGCCCAGAGTTCATTTACGACCAGCTGAACTATAAGATAAGAAATGAAATGGTGAGAAGTGTTTGATTGAAATAAATGAAACGAAAAAAATGAAGTGAGAGTGAAAATGAAAATCAAATATAATTTTATTTTTATAGAAGGAGATGGAAATGAAAACAATGAATAGAAATTGGAATTCTTTAAAAATAATATGATATTCTTATTTATTATATATTAACTATTTATATTACCATCATTACCCTCACTTACTATGTTTTACCTCTGGTAATATTAAAAACTTAAAATAAAAAAAAAATATTATTATTGTTCCAATTATTTATATTATTATTTTTATTTCAATCACTATGTTTATCGTTATCACTGTAATTGATGGTGGTGAAGAGAAATACAAGACAAAAAATATTTGATTTTTTTTTTATTGCTTGAATGATTGTTAAATACATTTTGAATATTTATATAGCATCATAACCTAACTTAAAAGGGATTTTAATTGCTGAAAAAAAACTAATAAAAATAATCATAATCTAATATAAGATAAATATAAGACAATTAAAATCCATAAATCAAGTTAAAAATCAAGTTTGTTTAATTTGAGCAGCTAGGAATTGTTTTTTAAAATATTTTTTATTTATAAATATATTAATAATAATACTTTTATTTTTAAAAAATTATTTTTACATCAACTCATTAAAACAATTTAAAAATACCAAAAAACAATTAATTTAAATTTAAAAAAATAAAAATTTTCTCCAACCCTTTTTGAAACGCAACTTGTACAGTTGTTGACGCAAGAAATCTCCCTCTGGCTGCTGACTTACGGCTGCTGAAAATTCTCCTCTCACAGAAACTCCTTCCACTGACTGACCTTGCGGCTGGGACTTCTGGCTGCCATTGCTTCATCTTCATCCTTCTTGCTTTATTGCAGGCATTTTACAGCCTTCTACCTTGGTCCCCGTCATCGTATAATCACTCTCCCACCATCCCCTTCACTTTTCTTCCATCACCTCTCGTGATGGTGGCATTGATTTTTTTTTTATAATATATTATCATTATTACCATAGACCCCATTCATCTGCACATCTTCCATCATCACGATCACAGTTATTATGTACAGAATCACTACTCATTGTATTAAAAGGTTAGCTTTCTTTCTGATTTTTTGTTATGATTTCAAATACAGAGTTGTAATTAAAATGACATTATAATTCCTCTACTTCTATTCCAATTCTTTCATTTCTTTTTCAGATTTTTCACTCATGATAATTATTTTTATTTTTTTTCCTGGGGAGGGGAGAGAGGGAGAAAATACCCAGCTTTTTGAAAACACAGGAAATTGCTGGAGTAATTGTAGTCTCCTTCAATCTTCTCACTTGTTCATCTGTAAAATTAAACGAATGCTTATTTAGAATAAAGCATCAAATGAATCATCAACAGCACACAGACAACGCCACTTGTCAAAAAACTAAACAAAGTGTATGGGATGATGTTCAAAATCCAATTGGTTTTTGTTGGTTGAATTATAGATTAATCAAGTGTTTATAAAATTAAATCTACTTTTCATAGTAAAGGAAGTTAATCTCTTGATGAAACAAATCTTGATATCTCAAAAAAGAAGAAGTCTATTTTGGATTTATTTAAGGACTTTTAGATACTTTAATTAAAATCTTTATAATGAGAAAACATAATAAATGTGAAAAAATTATTAAATTTTAAGAATAAAAATATTCTTGTTGTAGTATAAAATAAATTCTCTATATAAATAAATGGTATATATGTGTCGGGAATGAAAATTATAAATCTTTTTATTTAGATGATATATAAAATATTTATACCTCATAAATTTTGTTTTTTTATGAGTATTGGACCTAAACCACAAAACCATACCAAAAAAGAATTATCAGGTCTTAATCTCTTGATGAAACAAATCTTGATATCTCAAAAAAAAAAATCTATTTTGGGTTTATTTGAGGACTTTTAGATATTTAAATTAAAATCTTTATAATAAAAAAATATAATATATATGAAAAAATTATTAAATTTTAAGAATAAAAATGTCTTGATGCTCTATGTAAATAAATAGTATGTATGTGTTGAAAATGAAAATTATAAATTTTTTATTTAGATGATATATAAATGTTTTTTATCTCTTGAATCTGGTTTTATTTACAAGTATTGGATCTAAACCACAAAACTATACCCAAAAAAAAGTTATCAGGTCCAAAACATCGAGCAATGTGCACGGGTTGGGCATGAGACTTAGTCCACAAAGCGTTGAATGTAGGTCTCATATAGAGGTTTTGGCACCATGCCCAAGCCCATAGGGTGCTGTGCGTGGGCCCAACAACTGGGCTTGGACACCCCGCTAAAGCTGATAAGGGCGCTTGGCGTGTACCCATCATCTAGGCTTCAGCATGGCACCCAAACCCATAAGCGCTGGCATGTGTCCGACAACTACGCTTTGGTGCCATATTTGAGCTCACAAATGGTGGCGAGTGTCCTGTGTCTAGGCCTAGAGTAATGGTTTGGGTTTAAAGCTTGTTTTTAAAAGGCTACATTGTTATTAAAATAGGCTTGGACCACCAAAAAAATATTTCTTTAAATAGTGATAAATCATGGTCCATCGAAATGATTGTTTATTATATCTTAAGAAACTAAAAGAGAATGGAGTCCAAATGCTGACCATATAGTAAACTTTTAGTTGTTTAATTTAATCTCTAATTTTCTATAACCTTTTTTCAGAAGTAATTGATCAATTCTCTAAATAATCCCCCCCAGGACTCTGGAACCGGCTGAATTCAAATCACAAAACACTCGGTATTTAATTATATGCATATATGGTCAAGTCCTATTCATGTTTCCATTCCAAAATTATTATATATTCACAAAAAGAAAAAAAAAATTGTTGTTATGCATAGATAATGACCGCAGCCACACCTTGACATCAAGATGTTGGGTTTGGCTTGCAGAAAGGAACATCAACATCTTAGTCCATAGCTGGCCCTCCCACCATGCTAGATATTTACAATGCCTTGTCAAGTTCATGATTAGCAACTACATAATATTTTATAAACTACATCGTTTTCACAAGTTAGCATTTTCTCATCACTAATCCATCGTTATCGTGCCGTCGAAAATAAGAAAAATGTAGATGATCTCATTGGACGGCAGAAATGGCCCCCACGATTTCAAATTAGTACAGCAAATGCATTAGCCTAGCTAATCTTAAAGGTTTAATGCCATAATTGATAGTTGTTTATGGTTGCCTCTTTATTCCATAATTTTTATTGCTATGAGATGTGATAAACAATTCCTGAATCGGGTGAGGATTCCCAGACAAGAAATGTTATCTCTACAATGAAGATTTTTTTAAAAAGAAAAACTTCCATATTGTTCACATTTTCGAAGATTATTCCCTTCGGCAGAATATGCTTGCGGTCCTTCTGCTTTGAATCCCACTATGTTTTGTAGATTTTACGATTCCACTCGTTGTCCTGTAGGTGCCTTCTCTTGCTCAAGATTTGTGTTTTTTAGTACTTTATTCTTCCTTTTTTGGGCTCGAGATATCGTCACTTTGAGTTTTCATTTACAAGATTTGTCGAGTCTTTCAATAATAGGTTTCAGGAAGACTATACTTATCAAAATATTACAACTATATATATATATATATATATATATATCATAACATTGGAATGTATTTATTTACCATTTGAATCAATATTCGAGGGTAAGCTCCACTAAGATTTTAGTTGTTTGCAAAACTTGATATTTGAATACGGTTCTCAATAATTATAACATAATTATAACGTGATAGTAAAGAATTTGATATTTATACAACAAATTTTGAATTTAAATAAACATGACATGATGGTAAAGGGTTTGAGATCTATACAGTAAGTTTTAAATTTAAGTCAAGACATATATTTTTTATAAGAATCTAGGACAACTGAGATTTTATTCGCTTACTTGGATTCACAAAATATGCTTTCCGAAAAATAAGATTTTTTCTAATAAAA